GCTGAATGTATGAGCCTTTGTTTTCCTGTTCTGCTGTACAAAAAGTTACACATCGCCGAGACAGGCTGTTGACATCTGGTCTCACAAAATGCATTAGATGTTGTCATAGATCTAAAAACCAAAGTTGTGGAAAGGAAGCTGTTTGCTTAAGATTTTTTTTTTCTGTAAGTATGTAATATTTTCACTTAGACATGAGCCAGTGGGGCCAAACCTAATTCTCTGACAAGTTTTTGTGAAGTGAGGTGTAAGAAATTAAACTTAACGATTTTTAATTAGCGACATTTTAGAAGGAAGTRTATGTGTATCTGTGAGTGCACATACTTGTAAGCTGGTTTTTCTTTTCCTAGATTGCTGGCACAAAGACTGGTGACAAAGAAAATGAATAAAACCTTACATTCTGAATATTTCTAAATTGCATAATGATTTGGGAAAAGATTGCTTATTTTTTAAATTGATTTTTAGAGAAGTTRTCTATTTTAACCCTGTCATATTAGTGCACCTACATTTTTATGCTGAATCTGCTGCTGAAAAAATAATGCTGACTTTTGTATTGCCAGGAYTTTACCAATTTGTAGGACTCTCTTCATTACATAGCTTTTAGTTAGTTTTAGTGAACTAAAACTTGATCCACTGGCATTTGAGTGGTGAAATATGCTCAAGCAATTCCTGTATAAGGAGACTGTAATTAGTTCCAGTATTTCTACCTGAATGTCTCCTTTTGGGGAGACATGAGTTTTAATCTAAATGTGTTCTGCAGGTTTAAAAATCCAAAAGCATAATTTGTTACCTCTCCTTGCAAAACACAAATCAAGCATTTTTCTTAATGATGCCTGGCGCTACATTAGCAACTTGTGATCTCGTTTGAAAAGCTGCCTTTCGTACCTAAAACAGTCCTGGTTTTGGTGATTTCATTGTTATCTTCACCCTTGAGCTGGTCAGGACTTCTCAGTGGTGTGGCAAACAGCTGCTTTCCACCAGGAGGCTGAATGTGTTTCAGTGCTGGATGAAGTGCAGCTTTGTAAACAGTTTGTCACTGCTCTTGGAAATCCATGAACAGAAAAGTTATTTGCAGTGTGATTGTGATGTTTTAAGTCTAATGCCAAAAGTATGATGTGTTCTAGTTTGAACATTTTATTTTTAAAAGGCTACKTTTGTCTCTCCACTTGGTAAAAATCTCTCCCACTACACCAGCCACCTGTCCACAAGCAGAGGAGTGCTTGTGCTGTGCAAGGGAAGCTCTGTAAGGCACTGAAGGGATGGCTGGTGTGTTCAGTGTCTGCAGCACAGGATCAGGCACATGGCACCTGGGAATGACACCTGGGAGCCAGGTTTGTCCCAGCTCCCTGAGGGGCTTGTGCATGYCCTTCTGTACCCAACAGTACAAAGGGAGAGAATCTGCATGTGCTGCATTTCTTGCCTATGGGAAGGCAAGTGGCACATTAAAGTCTGTCTGTATAGATACACAAACTGAATTGTGGAAGTAGGGGCCAAAATTCACATAATTATTCTTTTCAGACCAAAAGGATAATTTAGGAGGACATGGTATAAGTTAAGTTGCGAGATTGTCAGTGAAATCTGTTTAAAATTTTGGGGAACAGCTCCTTTTGGGAACAATTCCTTATGGAAACTGCTTTTAATATGACTTACTTGGTAATAAAGTGTAAGTGGGAAAAGTAGGCAGGAAAACAGTCCCTGTTTCAGATGTTCTGTGCCTTCCAAGCCTCCGTCTCCAGTCTGTCCCTCTGCACATGCACRTGTGCCATGCAGTACCTGTGTCACGCTGTGCTTTGGCACGAGCACATGGGGCGTGCCCTGGGCCTCCAGAGCTTCTGCTGATGTTGATAAAGTGAACTGAAAAGTAAAGAGTGTAACATAACAACCTGTTCTTTGGTTAGGGAGGCCTTGTAAGGTCAGAAACAGGAAGAGCTGAAAAACAATTCCTGGTTCTGGTTTCCAGTTCCTGCTTTGCTCTGCTTCATTCACTAGAAGACAGTCAGTCATTTCATCCCTTTGCCTGCAGAAGTTCCATCTTCCCTGTGTCTGTTCTGGCTAGGGAGAGAGGCTGAAATTCTGTTTTTTTTCTGTGCAAGTTGAGATTGTAGGCATGAAATCTCATCTTTATCTCTGCAAAACAAGCAGAAAAGAGTATTTAAGGGTTCTTTATCTGCTCTGAGTTRTACAGGGCTGAGACAACCCAACCCCTTAAATTCTGACATGATAATTAATATGAACTACCTTACCAAGGGACCACTCAAGTGTCTTATTTGATAGTGAAACTTAGAACCTGTGCCTGCTAAATTAAATAGCAGATTTTTCTTGTCCTGAGGAAGTCTGTTTGGGCTTTTTTTCTGCTTGGATGTATTTTGATGAAGACATTGCAGAGCTTATTACAGTTATTTTTCTCTGTGACGGTCCCAGATGAGAAGGCATTTTTGCAGTGTCTAGATTACATGTAATTTTTAAATTTTCCCTATTGGATAAAAAATGGCTCAATTGTACGTGAWATAAGACCACATTCATTGTTTTAAGATGACTGCTATGTTTCTTTTAATAAGAAGAGCAATGAAGAATGACTCCTAAGTATTCCAAACAGATAATGAAACATAAGTAATTTTTTTACATTTCCATGTTTTTGGCTAGTTTGTTTTGTATTTTTTTAAAGGAGTTCTGCTGTTGAGCTGATGTAACTTTACAATGGGAATAATTGCATTAAGAGTCTGAAACAAGCTTGTTTGTCTAAAACCAGGCACATTTTTCTTCAAAGACTGAAACTTGCAAAAAGGTGATAAATCAGTTTCCTCAGACACTTGGATCTTGCCCTGGAAGTATTTCATGCCTGCTTCTGTCTGACACAATGGTTTAAGGAGAAGAAAACATATAATTGCTCTGTAATTTCTACACTAAAATGTTTTCTTTTGAAGTAGCTCCGCTTAGCCTGTAAAAATACTTCTGGGTCTTAGTCAAGCATTTAGTACAATTTAAAACTGCAATACTAAATTTCATTGGTTGGACTTTTTATTAGATAAGGTAGAAATGAAAGCAGCAGGCAATTTAATTAGCAGTAATTTTTCTGGGCAAGTCATTACTTTGATGAACTTCAGAGCAATGTTTATGGCTCCTAATTAACCATGTTAGTCATTTGATTGAATAATCACTTTGGAAATGTTTCTACAATTTGATTAGAGTCTGACCCACTCTGATAGTCATAAATTAACTGATAGCACTTTAGGATAACAAGACTCTAGTTACTTTACGAGAAATAAACTCTTCCTTGCTGTATTTTTTTGGTCCTCTGTGGACTGTTTAAGCACAAGCTAACCAGAAGATTAAGTAATGTTGGTACAAACAATGCTTGCTTTAAAAAGACTCCAGATGTTAATTATAATTGACTTAGRAGCATGGGAGATGAAATCCCAAATTGGCTAAAAAGACAAGTTTGTGAATGCGTGCATAATCCTTTATTCAGTATACTCTGCTCTATCACTTTGTAAGAGTGGAGTTCATGAGTCAAAAAGGACTTTGCTGCCAATACTAGAGAATTTTTACCTAAAATAGAAAATAGCATCTGTTTCAGTTCTACAACTTCCTCTTTTTTACGTAGATTTTTCCATTCTCCTTAGAATTCAATCTACTTGGTAACATGAATGATTCCTTGCAGGTGAAGCACTGCTTGTAGCCTTGACTTCTAGTCTGCAGAGCTATACTTGACTCGGKTGATCACTGAGTCACTGATTCCTGTGGTTGCTCAGAATAGCTGCCTGAGACATTAGAAATTCTCTAGGCCTGAGGAGGCAGGCACGGAGCGTTTCATCGGGAGAGGAGGTAATGAAGAGTTTGGCACAGATGTGCAAGAGGGACCATGGACTGTTAGAGGAAACTTATTATTACTGCCCTGTGTTTCACTTGTTTGTGAAGTCAGTGTAAAACCTCATTTTCTTATCCTGCCAAATCTTTGATACTCATCACTAGTCAGTGAACAGTGAAATTTGGAATCACAGTCTGAAAGAGTCTGTAGGCAGTGCTGGAAAAATAATGTCTGCTCTTTCGACCTCTGTTTGCATCTCTTAAAGAGTTACAAGTTACTGGTAACAGATTGCATAGCTTAGGGTAGGAGTTCATCACAAGATCAAATAGACTTTGTTAAGAAAGACTTTTGATATCCAAGAAGTAGGTTAAACATGGTCTAGAAGGGCAAACATTTACCGTGTGTTTCTGTTTGCAAGTCCCTGTGCACAGGATGTGGCTACTTGGGGATGGTGCAAGACATGGGGAAGAAAAAGAAAGATATTTCAAAAACACCTTTTTCATTAGTTCTGTTTGGCTTTTCTCATTCTTCTAGCAGATTTGAGAATAGCAAATAAATATCAGTATTACTTAGAATATGCACAGTGTTTTTTTGAAAGGTGTCATTTTTGTTTTAAATACATGCAAGTGGAGAGTGATACAGATAGGTCTAAATTCCTAGATTTCTGCAATTGCAGAAAATTTGATTAACCCTTCAAGTCCTTAACAGAGTCTAAAAAGCATTATCCTACTCTTAAATTCACTTTGACATTCTTTGTGTTAATGTAGAATTTATAAGTCTCTGGTATGACTGGCAGTCTTTTCAGTGCAATTGATTAAATATTTTGGGTTGAATTAGTTACAGAGACAGATATACAAGCACAGGGTTTAAAATGTTCATGGTCACTGGTGTGAATTTTTTTTTTGTCTGTGAATGGTCTAAAGTGTAAATGCCATTGGAGTCAGCTTTTAGCAAAGTTTATTACAAAAGATTTGGAGTTCAAGTGCCTATGTTAGATAGGATGGTCACATCATGATTTTCTCCTTCTCCATGTGCTGTGTGTGCCGCTCTGAAATGCTGACTCTGTTGACAGGCTCCCTCTCACTGTAACTTGCATTCCTTTTTTGTTGTTCCTCTGACTGCAGCCTGTCTCATTGATAACCTGCACTCTTTTAATTCCAGTCTTTTGACTTGCATTGTCATCTTCTCTTTTCAGAAGTGCCTAGCTGCCATTCCATTTACATGAGGCAAGAAGGCTTCCTGGCTCACCCAAACAGAACAGAAGTTAAGTTTTCTATTATGTATCACTTTTGTATGAGAGAAATGTAAAAAATTTAAAAGTCTGGAGGGATTTGGGGTTCACTGGTTTAAATCTGACGCTGGGATGACTTGCATCATCTTTCCCTTTTCAGTCTTAAGTTTCTGATGCACTGATATTTTTGTAGTTTCTTTCAGTGCCATGGGTTTAGAGCAATAGAATAGAAGCRATTATATTATCAATTTAACTTATTCTGCTTTTCAGGGCCTGTAACAGTTGAAAGAAAGAGACACTTAAAAATTTGTCTATTTCACCCTTCTGCTCAAGTGATATTTTCCAGGCTGTTAGTGTGACAGGCTCAGTTAACTATGCTAAGTAATCCATTTTTTACTTCAAATTCACTGGAGGTTTTTTGTTTTTTTTTCCTTCCTTATGTTATTATTTTTGCAATGTTTTGATGCATCTTATGCCCAAGTTGAGATATGTACCAAACCCCACTATGATTTCAGTMGGACAAAGCTTACATAATTGTCCAGATTACTAATTCTGAGTTAAAGTACTTTATATGTACTAAAAATKARAAGTCCAACAGAACTAAGACAACTGAAAGAGAGGTTATACCCTCTCAGTTTATTTGTCTTATCAATATATTATTTTCTRCTTGTTTATTCAGGGTTTATTTGTTCTTGTACCAATGGGCACATTTCACAAACCTGAGGAATCTGTTTGGAGATTGATGAGAATCCAGATAGATGTGTGTGTATCAAAGTCTTCAGGAAGACTTCACTTGCTAGTGTAAAGACACARTTGGAAAGATAACACATCTGGCTAAAATCCCATCTGCTTCTTGGTTCAAATAAAGACAGACAAAAAAAAGAAATAAATGATAGTGTTTRACAAGGAAGGTGAAACAGGAGATAGAAGTCTTGTTGAAAGTCTATGTGAAATTATAAGAAGTATAGAAACCTGGTAAGGGAGGTGAGAGACATCAAGAAAACATCCACAAACCACAGGGCTAATGGTGAAAAATTCTGATTTTTAATCACAGCATAGAAAGAGGAAACCTAATCTTAGCCATGTTATGCTCTCATAAGGAGCTGGAGGTGGCAAAATTGTTATGAATGACGTGAAAAAAAACAGTGATATTTGGTGAACATGTGTTTTCTGTGTTTGGAAATCAGTCAACATAATTTTACAGAATAAAGGTCATGTCAAATCTGATTCTATTCTTTGCTGAAAATAAAAGTTTGATTGATAAAGATGCTTGTATCATATAGTTAGACTTTTTATGGCATTCAATTTGCCTCTGCATTACATTCTGATTAAGAAGTTAGCACAAAGCAATATCAATAAAGTACACATTAAACACATTAAGACCTGGCCAACTGACAGATCTAAAAGAGGCTGTCACAGGGCAATCATTTCTGAATGGATTGTTTCTATTATTGTTCTGTTGGAATTGATATCAGCAGTGTTGCTATTCARTATTTTCAGTAAAGATATGGAACAAAGTTAATAGATAACTTTATGGCACAAAGATAGAGTGGTAAATAACGGGTAGGACAGGGCAGTCACACAAAGCAACTTGAATTGTTTGGTAATCTGGGCATATTAAAAAAAAAAGTCTTTTTAATGCATGAATGTAGACCAGGCCTGTGGAACCGGGAAACAGTATATTGGGAAAAAGGATTTTGAGATGGGCCTCCTCCTCCTCAGCTTCACAGTGGAAAGACAGCCAGAGCAAGCACTGTAACCTTAAGGCAAAAAAGCCTTCTGTAACACTTAGGCAGTCAAAAGGAGGGTCAGAGGGTGCCAGGAGAGGAGGAGATGTTTTGTCTCGCTCAGCAGCACTGGTGAGACTGATACGGATATGCAACACAGTTCAGGTTAAGCAAAACATTAGCAGAATAGGGAATAGGAGTGTGTACAGAAGGGTGTGCTAGAAAGTCTGCTGTGTTGCAGAGAGTGCCCTTTAATGACAAAATGAAATTGTACAAAATGATCTTAATTGGAAGGAACATCAAGAGCTCTGTGTGAGGGGTGACTTCTGTGAGTGCAAGGAGGAAATACTGAGTGGTATTTCTTTAGTCTTGCAGGAAGAAGACCTGGAGGAACTAATGGTTAAAAGTCAAAGGCATGCTAGTTCAAACAGGAAATGAGACAAACATTTTGTAATAAATCATGGAGAAAAATGGGTGCTTTTTCATTTTAGCAGGTGGAGATTAACAGTCTTTTGGGAATGCATACATTAATTAAACACCCTTGTACTTAAGCCAAAATGTTGGGATTGGGCGGTGTGTAAAGGATGTGGGATATTAATCTGATTCCTGTATAACTTAGTGTTCCCTCTGGCATTCAGCCTGCGATCTCTTTTTTCCTCCATGCATCTTTTATATAAACACCTCTCTCTTTTTAACTTACAGGCTGTATGTATGAAAAGGGACCTAGGCAGTTTTATGATGACACTTGCGTTGTTCCAGAGAAGTTTGACGGTATGTATTCCACATCTCTCTTTTTCCTGTGCAGGGAGATGAAAAAGAAAGAGATGAGGGACTTTTCTCTGTTGCTGATCAAAAAAGCCCAGTAACGTTCCAATTTAGGATTCCTTAACACACCATTTGTGGTGCGCCCAACCAAAGCTGACCTTTGTCTCTTGAAACCAAAGTCTCCTCTTCAATAGGATGTCATTCGACTTCTGCCAGCAAAAGATGCTGCATCCAGAGTTGTGGCAGAAGAGCTCARTTCCTGTACTGTTGAGAAGTAATAGGAGGATTTCCATTGCACTGATGATCACATACCACTTGTTGTTTGAGATTTAATGAAAGCTGTTCTTGTAATTAACCAAACAGCGGAGAAAGCAGCAGCTTTGGTTTTACTGAGGATTAAGCCTCTTGTCTTGCTGTCTGTGAAGTGATGAATAGKGGGGAGTGAGTGTATAGGGCATTTTTGTATTTGTGCCAGTGTATTTGCACTAGGTTGAATGTACTAGTGGTTTATTTTTCAGTGGGATTGATAACAAATCAATGCTCTGTTCACAACACTACCAATTACAGCACATTTTTTTAAGAGGAATTCTAAGGTCAATTAAAATGTATGATCCRAATTATTCTCAGTTACTGTGATGTGAAATCAGTTTCCTGGTGTAACTCAGTTGATTTCAGATTTATTTCATTATAAGCAAAGTAGATGTACACTGTATTTCTTGCCAGGGACTCTTAGTCTTCAACTTTGGGAAGTAATTTGGAGACCAATTACTTAAATTTGCTAGAATGGCATTATGTTAGTGTATGCATGCTGGTGTAGTGTTGTCAGTATAGCTTTTATGTTAGTGTGCATATGTCCGGCATTATTTATTTTAGCAGGAAAGATTAGATACTTCCTTATAAACTTGTGAACACATTTTTGACCATAGTTAAAAGTAGAGCTGGAGAATTGTTGTTTGTCTGCTGCTTTATTTTGTTTGCCCCTGAGAATCAGTTACAAAACTATTACATATTTAACAGAATTTGTTGTGTTTGTTGAAGATCTGGAGACTCTGAAATGAAAGTAAGCCAAAGAATTGCACATTCTTCAGACAGAGTATCATATGTATTTTGATGTTGGTAAGAAACAGAAAAAGAATTTTAAACAATATTAGACCTAACTGAAGATTGCTCAATCTAGCATTGCATTGTCACTGCATTGACACATTCACAGAGAGGGTGATTTATTAAAAGTCTGCTTTATACCCAGGCTTTGTAATATGAACTTGCTTGTTTTTTCGTCTTTTTTTTTTTTCTTTTTTTTAAAGCACATCGTGTCAGGTATTTTTTTGTTCCCTGCAAATGATTGTGGATCTGATCTGAGTACCAGTGTCAAATTCCTGTGTACATTTATGGGAATGGGATCAGACCCTGTACTAAAAGAAGTTAAAACTCGTTAGGAGTAGCATTTGTCTGTATCTTCCCTGAAAAACCTTTTGGCTTAGTTTAGGTTTTATAGAGGGAAGGGAATGAAAATGAAAAAAAAAAAATACAAATACACTGAAAGAAATGTTGGGAAGTATTTGTGTGCCCGCAAAGCAAGCAGTCTTCTGCTAGTTTCTGTGACTGTCCATCAACACTTTGTACGCTAGAAGATTGATGTCAGGATGCAGATAGGTGTATTTATACTTGTAGGATGATGTTTTCAGGGAAAAAATGGCAGATGTGTAATCATATTCTGGCCACTAAAGCAAAAGTTGGATAAGCCCAGGACTAGCCTTGTTGTTTCAGAAATAGATTCTCAGCTGCTTCATTTGGAATCAAAGATGAGCACAAGGAAAGAATCTGATCCTGTGTAATACTGCACTTGCTATTTGCACGTTGCTCAGCTATCATTACAAGAAAAAAACCTGTCCTTGAAAAAGAAGGCCTTTCAGGAGTGGAACTTGAACCTCACATACACCAAAAAGCCTTGTGTTGATTTATTTGTTTTCCACAGCTATTGACTCAAWTTTCTTTCCTGATTACAAAAGGAAGTGCTCCATTTTTAATATTATTATTCTGCCTTTCACTACACAGAGCCATTCTGTAATGGCTGTCAGAGCATCCTAATGTTGTGGTTGAATGTAAATTCCTGACTGTCCTTATTAAACGGGTCACACTGTTTGTTGGAGGCTTTTGCTGTTCTGATAGTTGAAATGAGGAATTTTACCATTATATCAAAGATTGTAGTCATTGTGTGAAGAAAAAAATCTACTTCAGCATCAGMCCTTTCAGCTGTTGTTTGCATGAGTTGTTCAGTATGAATATGATTTAAAAACAAAGACAGTTTGGATGAAGCAGGGTGGTTTTTTCATTGACAATTTGTGAAACAGTTAGTAGAATGTCATTGATATTTCTTAAAAGGTTTCTCTCAACTTAAAATTTCTGAAAAATTAACATTGCTTTTCAGAGAGAATACTAATTTAGTATGTAGATATGAGTAAAAGTAATTTGTTCTTCTATGCAAGTCCAATATGCCACAGAGGAACTCGCATATCTGCCGGATTTACATGCCTATACATAAAGCCWGTGCTGTTTAAGTCCAAGTCAAATACTTTGTCAAATTTTCCTTAGAAGCATTTACATGTAAGAGAAGTTTCACTCAGCAGGGTTTTGCAGCTTTATGAAGCATACATTACATCACCAAAACTAGGCCCTGTGCAAAGTATAGTACACAAACACAGTTCTTCATATAGCAGGGTTGTTTCAAAAATAGTTTATGTTCTTTCAGAGAGAGGATATTACAAAATGGTTTGCAAGAGATTTGCGTGTATCAAAACTACATGGGGAGAGGCTTAGGGAGACTTCCATAAATCGTGAATGAGTTTAAGTGCTTTTTAGCATATGAATATGTTACTGTAAGTCCCCAGCAAACGGGGAAATGCTGCATTTGAGGGTGGCTGATTCYTCCCTCTGTTTTGTTAACCCTAGTGACTGCTCCCCAGTTTATCTGCCCAGCCAAGGGATGGTGTTTCAGGGCAYTGCCCCTCTAATGTTGCTGTTGTGTGCAGGTGATGTCAAACAGGAGCCGGGCATGTACCGTGAAGGACCCACGTATCAGCGGCGAGGCTCTCTGCAGCTCTGGCAGTTCTTGGTAGCGCTTCTTGATGACCCTTCRAACTCTCACTTCATAGCATGGACTGGCCGAGGCATGGAGTTCAAGCTGATTGAGCCAGAGGAGGTGAGTTAGACAGACGGCATGTCCTCACATCCACTGCCCCATCCTGCAAATTTCATTGTGCTCCTTTGGACTTAGGCCTTATTTTCCTTCAGTATTTTGTTTCAGTAGTGCTTTAGAAGGGTGACAGTAAGGACYGGCAAGGGGAGTGCTTCATTCAGGACAGAGGTGTGGTTTAGCATAGACTTAGTCCCACAAAATAATAAAAATATTGCCTAGAGTTACTAAATACTTCACATCGATTGTGGAGGTCCACATTTTTCAGAATCACTCTATGGATGGAACTGTGTTCCAAAATCCTTTGAAAACTTGTCCCTTACTAGTTTTTCAAAATCAAATATTCTTCAGAAGGAAGATGTGGAAACTTGGAAGTTTTAGGCTGTAGAGTGAAGTACTCAAAGTCTGACACATGGCAAAGAAGAAGGTTTAAGATTGTAGGGCAGAAAAATCCCATCAGAATTATATAAACCTCCCTTTTCTCACAGTTTTCTTCAGAATCTTCCTGCTTATCTKAATCATTCGATTGTTTAGTACATCCTGAGATCTGAGGCTTGCAAACACTCATGCACATGCATGACTTTTCTGAACCATGAAGGATTCATGGGGAGATGAAATTACTTACATTCATGAACATTTGTTCAAGCGTGGCTTAGTTCACTTGTGTGATAAACAGTAATAAATTTAATGTTTTATTACATAAAATGTTTTGKACTAGGTAACGTTACATAATCTGTCCTGTATTCTAAACTATCATGGAAACTGTTGGCAGACCAGGTGTATGTGAATTTTGTTGTAAAATTGGTGTGGAGGATTTGATTAGGATTGTCAAAAGCCAGTATCATTCTGCTTTAACTTTTTGCCCCTTGAACAGGGTTTGCTAATAGAGGAGATCACAGGAAATTTTCTGACAGGATCCCCTTTGAGTTAGAGCTGCGCAGGAAGGCTTGGGGGTGTACGGCTGCCTCTGCATTCCACCAGCTATTTCTGCTGTTTGCCATCCATCTGCTGGTATTAGCAGTCTGAAAGCTTTCTTGCATTTTGCTTACCTTGCCTGCCAACAGCTCTGTGGACATGCTGGAGTAGCTGGGGGTGGTGTCAGGACCTATGTCCCTTTCCCTGCCGACGTGGTCTGGCTGAGGAGCAGGTGGCTGCAAGGACCCCTTTGCTGGCTTTGGTTTGTCTGAGCATCCCCCCTCTAGTGACAGTCACCTGGCATTGTGCACATGAGGATTTGAACGCAGTACCATCTTAGTAGATATGATACTGAAACTTTGCTGGCAGGTCTGCAGCCTTAGCAGGCTACATGGATTCTTTAGTTGTGGGACCTGTCCTGGAACATAGCAAAATCTTTGGAAAGTCTTTGGTTTTGGTGAATGATGTATCTAATTTTCCCCCCTACCCCAGCCTCACATTTTTCAGTCTCTTAGTTTTGTCTTGTCTTTAAGGTATGTCCAAATTTTTTCAAGATTGAAGTGTTTTATTGAGAAATGGTTTCCAGCAGATGGTGCAAAAACTTTATAGATTTTATTAGCTAAGGAAAGGAAAGTAACAAYCCCCTAAGGTTTCCTTATTGTGTAATTCCCTGAAGAACTGGATATTCTAATTTAAGTTAAGCAGTTCATCTGTGTGTCTGGCCATGTAGAATTTGCTTTGTGTTTTTGAGTAGCATTGCATCCAAAATTTGGAGGAGGCTTGAAGCTTGCCTCACTGTGTGTTCTTAGGAGTACAAAGGAGGCTAAGTTGTTTTCATATGAATGTCATGAATCTGACCAAAACAGTCAATTAAAATAAGAATAGCCTATGGGAAGTTGCACRATTCTGTTGGTTGCCAAGTGTAAATTGAAGGGAAATCAAAGAGCTTGTTGGTTCTGCTGTGGCAGGTTAGGATGTCAGTGACATGACCTTYCTATACCATTCCTTACTGGAGGTTTATGCCCTTGTAGAAAGTGTGACAACAAAAATGAATATGTATCAGCTCCTGGAGTGCCATAGTTCATTCAGAAAGTAACTGTGAACTAGGGAGCCCGAGAATTGGGCTGTCCATTTATKCAGGCTTGTCAGAAGGACAGCAACCTTCAAGAGGAAGGTAGGGTGGAAGGGTAGAAACCTGAAWCCCTTCCACATCCTAGAGCAGGACTAGGTAAATGCTCTGCAGTTCAGGGATTGTGAAGGACTTGATTGCATGTTTAGGAGTGTCCAAATACCACCCAATGTAACATATTTTTAACCATTACTTGTTGTGTATCTTTGCTGTGTATGTATTTGCAAGCTTGTTCTCTTGGGGACTTCTAGGACACTGATTCAGGCAGAAAAAAACCCCTTCAGATGGAAAGAATAAAAAGAAGAGTGATGTRGTTATGTATTACAAAAATGAGTAGGTGAATCAAAGTTAGGCATCTGGGCCAAATCTGCAGCTGGAGTAAATTTACGTGATTGGAGGTGTGTTTCAGTACAGCTCAAATGTAGCTGAAGTTAGCAGAGCTGTGATAATTTATGTGAGCCTGAAAAGCTGCACCACTGAAAGCAAACAATGCTTTCAAAAGAAATTTTAGAAACAATTGTCCAGGTGGAGACCTAAATCATGGATTTTGCTCAGTGCTGCATGTTGCCATGGCTTGCATCAAAAAACTTCAGACAGCTATAAGAAGTTTCACGGAGCAGTCTGCAGAGAAACTGCTTGGCTACTCTGTCCTTTTTCCAGAAATGTATGCATATGCACCTCTCAAACATTTTTATAAAATGTGCTTTAAAGAGTTCATCAGCTCTGCCTTTTTTCCCCTCTGGTGACATTATATTCATTTTTACAGACAGTAATTGAGATGTCACCAATAGCCGATTTAAATTTCAGGTGAGGAATAAGTAGTTAAGCTCTTAAAACAAAGGGTCGCTTTGTCCAAAACTATCTGTAGCAMTAAAACAGGAAGCGTAAAGTAAAGCAGAAAACATAAGTCAGAGCAGAAGGCATATTTTTCCCTATGGAATAGTTTCATAAGTTACTTGCAGTTCACTTTTTATTGTTATTTTTAAGGGAAATTATATGACTGCAACTATGAAATTTCTGTTCCATTTTTCAATTCACCATAAAGTTCTTCCAAGTGATTATTCTGCCTCCTCAGATAATTCATTTTTTTTCTGAAGTAATGTTTTAGACTGGGAGTTGTCTTTTGACTTGTGTCTCCTAATAATCTCAACATTGCTGTCATTCCAAGTACAGTCTGTATTAGTTCATGAAGTAAGTATGTATCCATGTGTGTTTAAAATAACTTGGTTTTCTGWCAGCAAGGAAAAGAAACGGACAGTACAATTATCCATAGGATCAAACTAAAGATAGGTTTTCTGATAGTTTTCTGGTAGAACTTGCTAAATATTTTTTGTCCATCATCTCTTTGTATGCCTTTTTCTTTTTCATTTTTTTTTTAAATTAAAAAGCAAAGAAAACCCTAACCCTCCACCATATTTGCAAATAAATCTGCCTCAAGTTTAACGATGATGCACATCCAATTAAAATTCATAGTAGTACAAGGGAAGTTCAGGTCATGGCAACCTTTTCYTATTTGTTGCACCTGCAGGGTTTTCCCTCCTGCATCCCCAAATAAAGTATCTGATGATAAGATCTSCTTGTTAAATGCATTTAACAAATCATTGCTAATCCATTTTTGTGGCAGGTGGCACGTCGCTGGGGGATTCAGAAAAACAGGCCAGCTATGAACTAYGATAAACTCAGCCGATCGCTTCGTTATTATTATGAAAAGGGAATCATGCAAAAGGTGAGCAGCTAATTTTGTCTTACATTTCACCAGGGCCTTGCMTGTTAATCCATAGGTCAGTTTACAAGGAGTACTTGTAATTGCATGGCTTAGGTAGTTTTTTCATCTCTTTAGGCAAACACTAAGCTTTTTGACTTAATAGCTCCAGAATATGCATTAAGATATTTTTTTCCTATGTAAAAAATATATGTGGTTTTAGTTCACACAATGCATTTCATGAGTATAGGGAAAGAAGTAACATTCAAAAATATCCAAAAGAGCTTCCGGCAGCTGGGAAAGGCAAACTAGAGTACAGTATGATTAGTGTTTTGCGGATCTAAATTAGCTGCCCAGTGCTTGGATACTTTAGTAAGTGAAAAATAGGGGAAAATAATTACCCCTATTAACATACCAAATACTTTAATATTTTTACCAATAGTGTTTTAATAATGCTGATTTAGAGTGGAATTTAATACTTATWATAGACTGAATTAGGAGAAATATTTAACAATAATTTATATATTACAGTCTAGTCTTGCTGACAGTATTCAATTCATCCTGTTACTGCAGCTTGCTGATTTATCTGTATACTTTTAAATCTTGCTGTGTAGTACTATGTAGATTGCTGAAAAATCAATAGCAGAGACCTGTCTGCTGTATCTACAAAACTGCCAGGTGTGATCAAAGTTTATAACAAATACCTTGGACTGCAAAACTTACTCCATGTCTTTTCACATTGGCCTTGTGACCAGTGATGATGAACATGTTTAAATCTGCCATATGCCAATTCCATGAATGGAAACAGTGCTCTCCGATCGAGTTACTGGGAAGCTTTACCAGTAGTTTTTTTGGTCTTAGAAGTTCTCTTGCTTACATTATGGGATTGTTGCAGTGCACTTTTTTTCACTATCTGGGAGTCAACTTGGACAACARCCTGGGCTGGTGCTGGCTTATGGTTCTTCAGTAGCTCAGCACCTCGTGCATTTTTGTGTGTCACATAACTGTGCACTGGGTCTTTGTAAAGTGGGTTGGAAACTGGGTCCAGCTGGGGAGAAGCAGAAGCTCTGACTGGGGARAAGCAGAAACTCTTGGTTTGGCTGATTGGTGCTTCAGGCAGAGGASTTCCTTGTTGCAGGTTACAGCTCAGCAGCATAGGTGACTCTGCTGCCAGCACACTTCAAAGGCAGCAGAGAGGCAAAAAAAAAAAAAGTAACAGAGTGAAGCAAGTTGAAAAGGTGGGAATAGAAATACCACAAGTCTGATAATGCTGCCCCAACCCACACATCCATTTAACATGGAAAGTACTTTGGACAGCTAGCTTGCTACCTCCTAAACTACTGCTTTATTATCTAAAAGAATGTGTTTAACACACATTTTGAAAGCTTGCTTGTATGCTTCTTTTACTGACATAGCAAGGTTTCAGGTTTGCCGTGGGATCACTATCTGGCTAGTTCGTGTATTTTAAAAACTAATGGGAGTTGTAGATGCAAAGCAGGTTTCTTTATGGCAAAGTTCCTATGCATATTTTCCCTTTTGTTTTTTTTTTTCAAATCAAGCAATGATACCAGGTTGTGTAAAAGCCTGATTTCTGAAAGCAGCCTATAGCCTATCAAACTTGCTGACATTAATTTGATGTAAAAAGTTCTCCTGCACGGCTCTACCAAATTATATTTGTAGAATAAATAAGCTGAAATTCAAAGGAGGTGCATCAAATTATTCTGCACCCATAAGAATAGACTTGTTAAGTATGCAGTATGCTTTTCCATCCACACTAGTTCACCTCAGTGACATGGTAGCTGGACTTGCAAGAAACAGACAATATTATCTTTATTTTAAATTAATTTTAATAAGTTATGAACATGTGATATACTGCATATTTTTAGAGCAATTTTTTTAAATAAGGTACTGGAGAAGACGCTAATTAACTTCTTCTGTTTGTTGCTTGTAATAAGACAGCAGTTCTGTGTTRTTTTTATCATTCTCTAGCTTTTAGGAAATTGAAGCATAGACATTTAAGGCTGTTTCTGATTAAGSGAAAACTTTAGGATCTTTGGACAAATTTCCCCTCCATAAGCAAATCCAAATGTCCCAGCTTTGCATGAGCAATTGCTAAGTACATATTAGCCTACGTATTTGCTTACGCTGTCCCTGTACAATCAGCATGCACTGTAACTAAAGTGCTTTTATACCTACGTATGAATCAATCTGTGCAAAGTGAAATCCAGATCTCTATCGTGCAATRTGATTCTTTTTTCCACTTCGCACACAGAGTGTGTAATTTTATTTTGCCACCGTAGTGACAATTTGTTTACATTTTACAACAAGAGCAGTTCCATTTGTGGTTAAGTATAGGAAACGATCGCAAACAAATGTTAAGAAGTAGAATACTTAGTCTGTCTTCCAACAGGATGTCACGTGTGGCAAAATCAAGATCAGTCTGCTTTGGCGGGTCCCTCTTGTCTTTGCTAGGTCACTGCCTTAGCAGTTCTGCTGTCACATTATTAATTGTGTAACAAAGGTGAGCTCTTTACCAGACTGTTGAACTTGGAGCTGCMAGACACGAGGCCTAATCCTGCACCKTTTTTCCCCTTCTGTTGTCTTTAAGGTGGCTGGAGAAAGATACGTCTACAAGTTTGTTTGCGACCCCGAAGCGCTTTTCTCCATGGCTTTTCCGGACAACCAGCGYCCCTTACTGAAGACTGACATGGAGCGCCACATCAATGAGGAGGACACTGTGCCTCTGTCCCACTTTGAYGAGAGCATGGTCTACATGCAGGACGGAGGCTGCTGCAACACCCACCCCTATAAYGAAGGCTATGTCTATTAACAACAGTGACAGTGAAGGGGGTGTTTCCTCCTCCCTTAAGCTTCTCCTCTTTCCCAAGACCCAGAGGAAAGCTGAATCGACTTCAGTTTGTTTTTTAAATAGTACACTAAAAGGGGCTTTTCCTGTTGCATTACTCCTATGGTCTGCCATGGACAGCGCACTTTATTTGAAAGGGGAGGGTTGGAACCTAAACGTTATTCTGTGTAACAGGAGGAAAAGGGTGGGTTTGCTTTTTACTTAAGTTTGGGAAGGGAACATACAGGTTTTAAGTACAAAAAAAAAAGCTATATCATGTCTGTTTTGTTTCATATCAGCATAAGATATTGTACATTTTCTCTGGGTATCCRTAGTACAGTTAATTCTCATTGTGCAAAATAACCACTTGATGATRATATCAGCACAGCATGCCTAGGGCATTTGTTTCTTGCCATTCTTAATTGTCTTTCTGCAGWTATAAAAGAGAAACAAAGCATATACCACAGCATTTAATTTAGAAGCTTCCAGTGGCAGACCTTGTACCTGGCCTCTGAGAACAATCAGATCGTTTTCCTAGTTTTTTTTTCTTTTTTTTTTTTCCTTTTTTTGGGTATGACCTCAGAAAGGATAATAAATCCTATTTAATGACAGACTGGCCATAAGTACAGTGACCAAGCAGCAAAATCCCTGACTTAAGATTGCAAGCTGCATGCTGTATCTGTTGCCACATTGCTATACACATATGGCCCACGCTATGGCGTTGATTTTTCAAGATCCATTTGAGGGTAGTAATTACATGGGGTAGGCTTTCTGATGATCATGTCAGCATTAAATACAGGATCATGATCAGGAGGGAGAAAACATTTTKTATCCTTCCATTTCCTTTGGTACATAAATAAGTTATTTAATCAATAGGAATTAACTGTACTAAGTCACATATCTAATTATGCTGTTTAGACACAGCAAGCACTCCTTGAGAAAAATATCCAATACACTAAATAGGTACTTTAGTAATTTTTAGACACGGTACCCATTAATATGCATTTAAACCTTTTACTGCTGTGTTATGTTGATAACATATATAAATACTAGATAATGCTAATGCTTCTGCTGCTGTCTTTTTCTGTAATATTCTCTTTGATGCTGAATTTACTATGACCATTTATAAGCAATGCTGTAACTACAGGTAGCATTTCAGGACAAAATAGATGACTTGAACCATTTATTGCTTAGAAAATAGCTTACGCCATAGCTGTGCTATAAGCAGCTTTTATGCGCATCCACAAATGACTAGTAAGCTTCAGCTTGCTGAGGAAAGCTCTGCAGAACCTTTCRTAATTTTCGGTGGAACAGAGACGAACTGTCAAAGAATACCATGAAGTTGCTGTATGACGTTGTAGTGCTGGCACTGGTGTWACCAATCAACTTGTTTTGGACACTAAATGTAAATGTGATTGGATATGCTCGGGAGATAATTTCAATTTTGAGGGGTTTTTTTTGTTGTTTTGTTATTTTTTCAAATTGTTTTCTATTTTGAGAGGGGTTACCTTGAACACAAACCACACATGCTATTCTGTATGTAAAACAAAAACAAAAGGCCCTGACAAAACCCCAAGAATTTAAAATATTTATGAGCACCTTTTTTTGAAATACAATAATTCACAGTTTGAAGGGGTGGAGGTGGAGGTAAGATCTGGATTTCATTTTTTGCCCAGTGAAATTTAAATAATTGTTATGTGAAGTACCTCATTTTCTTCGATTGCAAAGAAGTGGGAGAAAAATAAATACATAACTATAGAACAAGAAAAAATGTCATCATAATGGATAGATTTCCACGACAGTCCTAGGTGGTGGGTAAATCTTCCCTCCTTTGTCAGTTAAGACACTACTTAAGTTATGAATATTTTAATACACATTTAATCAAAACTAAAGAAGTAGTGGTCACTAGAAACCACATAGAAACCAGGTGCATAAAAAACATTTGGGCAGATATTTAATTTACCCAGATCATGAGACAACATATTTTATGATAWATGCCTTAATATGCCACCTGATTCTGTCATCCATAGGTCTCAATGGCACTTAAATACTTGGTGATCAACCGAGAAAAAGAAGTCTAAAACTGCAGAAGTAGCAAAAAGGAAAGGGAAAATGTTGAGTAATATTGTTCAAAAAAATTGTGGTTTCCATTGAAATAAGGTTCAAATGAAACATGCTTTGATGAAAAGTCCTTGGATTGGTTTTGGTTCTTTAATGTCAGCACAGAGCGCCTCTTGCCTGTGGCAGGATGTGGGTACTTGGGAAAGGGGTTGGACAAAAAAAGGAAAAGATTTAAAAATTGCGTCAAATGTGTAATATTTAAGAAGAAAATATATATATATATCTGTATACGGTAGTGACTCACTGAACAAAACAAGCAGTCAGACCAACATTACATGATCTCTCAGCAGAAGACAAAAAAGTCTTTCACTGAACTGATTAACCCTTTTTAAAATGTACCTAAGAGGTTTATTTAAAGTCTATTTTTATTCCACTTTTTGTTTGTTTGGGGTTGGGTGTTTTGTTTTTTTTTTTTTTTTTTTGTTTTGTTTTGTTTTGTTTTGTTTGTTTGGGGTTTTCAGGTAGAATAATAAATCTGGCAGCTGATTTCTGCAAGATCGTTGTGTATTGGATTCCTAACCATTTGGAATGGAGAGGCCCCTGCAGCAAGGTTATTCTTTCGGAAGAGGACAGGATGCTCTGTTCCCAGTGCCTAGAATGGCTTGCTGCAAAGTGTAACAAAAAAAAAAAAAAAAAAAAAACAGAGGGGGGGAAAAAAAAAAGGTGAGGAGTATGGGAGTATGTACAATTCATGTGTATATGAGTTATAGCCAGGAGTTAGATTATCAAAGCATTAGAGGGGGGGAAAAAAAAAAGGTGAGGAGTATGGGAGTATGTACAATTCATGTGTATATGAGTTATAGCCAGGAGTTAGATTATCAAAGCATTATGTTTGACTGACAAAAGAAAGGAGGATGGTCTATGTAAATTTCAGGATTGACTCCTACTTARAACAGTTATGCATTTTCAGAGGGCATTTTAATACCCTACTGGATTTGAATGTGAGATGTTTGGGGCTGGGAGGGGGGGTGGTGGGCAGGGTTTTCATTGGTTGATTTGGGGGTATTTTGGTTTTGTTTTCAAGCTGCACSACRAGGGGAGGGAATACACAGCTTTCASCTGTTTGTAGTAGGAGCTGTRATGGACTGAGCTTRTGTGTGTTTGCTCATCTGTCTGTGCTGGACAGAGCAGTGGGGCAGCCCAGGGAAGCAAAGACGGGAGGCATCGCTGGAAGACACAGCGCTGTGGAACAGCTGAAGGGGCTCAGGTTTCATCTGCAATCCCAGTTCACTTGCACCCGTAGCTGAACACAGGTGAAATTGGTGAAGGACTTGGTAGATCCCCTCAGAACCCATTTGAGAGAGATTTTGCTTTAGGGATATGACTTCCATGGCAAAGAACCTGGTCCTTTCTCCAAGGTTACACCAGTCTTTCTCACGCACCACAAACCTGTACATTCACTGAAAGTGCAAATTCATCTGCTTCTCAGAACAAATTTTCTTGCTTTACTTAAAATGGCCTGCTAAGGTTACATGGGGAAACTGGGAAACAAAAATGACTGTTTTTCCCCAGAAATTCCCTGCAAAGAGCCCCTTGYTCAGAATCTTTTCGTCTTTGAGATTCTTTGCTACCTGGGACTGTTCCCCAGAGATTAATGCTTAGGGTTTTATTGCCCTTGACATCTGACTGGTTTGGGCCACAAGTCCATCTTCACAGGACAATATCATCTCGTAAATATTTTTGCCTTCTTTGTGGTTTTTTTGTTTGGTTGGTTTTTAATAGCAGGAAATAGATCARTGTGTACAAAAGGTATTATGAGGAAATCTTTGAGTTGCTAATGGTTGTACTTTCTCCTCTGAAGAGCATTAGCTTCAGTTYGTGTATTACAGGTAATAGCACCCATAAACAGCCCTATTCAGKGCTCACATTAATAGTACTGAGGAATACTGTAAACAGTCTCCTTCAAAGATGTTTTGGGARTCTTAATTAATATGGTATCTTGTAGTCTAAGAATCATCACTTCGGAATATTCCACTAGCATAAGAGCCTAGGATCTAGCAATAAGAGTCTAGGAAATTAATTTCTCAGTTCTCTTTGCATGTCTGAGGATTTTTCTGTTGTGCACTTAAGTTTTTTGTTTGGTTTTTGGGTTTTGGTGGGTTTTTTTCATTGGTTGGGGTTTTTTGTGTGTTTTTTTTTGTGCTTAGTTTGGGTTTTGCTGATTTTGTTGGGTTGGTTTGGTTTGGTTTTAATCAGAGGYTCTGCTTGGAAAGGAGKTGGCAGCTGAGAGCAGGTKCTGGTGCCTCAGAACTCGTTCAAAGTCCACTGCATTTTGCCAAGATACCAGGCTGAAAACTAAAATACAGAACTGAGCCCTGCCCTCCCTGTGCTCTTGCAGAAGAGGGAACTACAGTGGGAACAGTCTTTTGTTTCTTCTGCTACGAGAGCAGTAATCTCTGTCAGAGCAGCAGGCTGGAAAGCTAGGAGCAGTAAAAAGCTGTTTTGAAACTGTGAGATTACCCAGATCTGTCTGCCTGATCCCTGAGACACAGAAATGCATCAGCAGAATGCTGTCCCTTACGTCCCAGCTTTCATGATTGTATAGGTAGGTAGAGTTAACTTCATCTTTTGCTTCAGGAGRTTGAAATATTGGTTTCCTCCTTGAACACCAATTTAATTTTTCTGGGAAGGRAATATCTGTGCCATCTTCTTATGTAATAGTCTGAAAATGTCTCTGAAGTGTCTTGTTGACATTTTCCCAAAAGACTTTTTTGTGTGAAAATGCCACAACACACATCACCAAAAGAAAGGGTAAATAAACTCCCAGAAGGTATCCATATATCAGGTTMTCCAAAACTATAGCAGTATTTACTCTTGCAATGTATCCTGTCTTTAGTACTGCTGGGTTGTCCTTATTGTGTAGCTTCGTGGACTGACCTCAAAAATACTCAGTGTACCTTGAAACTTTGTTCGTTTTAAATGAGTTTTTAAATGAGCTTTTAAATGAGTTAYAGGAAGGTACCCCTGAGGCAGGGTCACAATCAAGCATTTGGATCTGGTAAACCATAATCCTGTGTCTTTGTCTTTGCTCTTGCAAAGCTCTGTGGGCACATATGACCACATCCACATTTTTCAGTTGTGTGGTAGAGAGGTAATTACAGCCCCTGGCTGGATTTGGGGGGTGGTTTGGTAGGTTTTGAGTAGCTGTGATTGGCTTTGTTTCAGAAGGAATGTCTATATGTATCACTTCCCACAGTTACTTTCCAAGTAACCAGGTAGAGAGTTGACGTCTAAAACAGCATTTTTGCTGTGTAATTTGCAGTGCAGGCTATGGTAATTCCTTGCTGCTRCCCTAAAGAGTTTTGAGGAGATTTCACTATTTTCTTTTCCCTTCCCTTCAGTGATGGGACCCAGCCGATCCATGTGAAGAAAGTTTAAATCAATTCTTCATTTGCCCATGACATTTTAGAGAACAGTCTGCTCAAAGTGCAGTGGCACTTTGTAGAAACTTGGGTACAGAGTGTCGAGTATTTTAGATGTACTGCAAAGAGCTTTCTTTGGTGGCTTTCAGTCAAAACCTTGCCTGGGCAGTGGCATATGGCTACACCACCGAAATAGAGGCAGAAGGAGATTTTTTTTTTTTTTTTTTGCAGAGGCAGCAGCTCCTTAGAGCCTGAGACATTTGCTGAAATCTGCAGTTTAGGCTGCTTCCTGGCCAGCCAGGGTTAGTCTGCCCTGGAAGATCTGGCGAGGAGCTCTGTGTGCATGTGGAAGGCCAGAGAGAGCGTGATCCCAGCATGCTTGAGTGAGGAAGCACAGAGATGGGAAAAAGTCTGTCAGGGGCAATCTGGCTCTACCAAGTAGCTATTCCAGAGCTGATTAGTACAGGAAGAAGGAGGTTATATGACCGATACAGTAAATCACAGAGATAATTATTTGAAAGACATGCTGCAGGAAAATCATAAGAAATGATGGAAAGTAATAAACTCTGTAAACAGCAGTGATTTTTTAAGACCCTGGTGCTTGTGGGAGTGCTTCAGGAAAAGGAAGAGAGAAAGTAAAACACAGAAAGGGATGATAATATTAGATGAGAACAACAGGAGTCAAACCATGAACTGCATTAGGGGACTTGGAAGATTGCAGTATTTTAGATAAAAGGAAGGGACTAAGATAAGTGCAGAGTCAGTACACTGAGATAAGAGCAAGAGAGAAAAGGTAATTGGAGGCAGTGCACTTTGTGGTCAGTGGGCCAAATGTGTTAGGCTCAGAGCTGCACCACAGACGTGTTTGTCCCTGGTAGCATATCCCCAAGGACAGGAATATAAATTCTGACTTTCGAGTGATTGTTGATTGTTTAGTAAAATCATCTGCACAGTGTTTGGTAGCTGTTAAAAGAGCAAACAAGATATTGGAATATGCAGAGTGTTTGGGGCTGTAAATGTAGTGTCTTTGTCATCCGACAATACTAAAAAAAACCCAACAAAAAACAAACCCAAACCAAAAAAAAAACCACAAACACAAAAGAAGAAATAATACCTTTCAGGATAATGGGGCAGATTGTGGGTTGATATAACTCAGCTTGGTTTCCTTGAAATCAGYTTTGTAGCTTTATGTTAACAGAGACTATAGCCTGTATTTGGTAATGTGTATGCCTGTCTAGCATAGTATATACACAGGACATTTTACTTGCTGCATTATTCAGAAAGATATACAAATGATGAAGACCTGGGGCGTAGCATGAGACCAATAATAAAACATGAAATTAAAYAAAAGTACATGTCTTCTGGATTCTGCTGATGTAGACAAGTCATTCCATTTTTTATAAAGCTCTCTGATAGAGCATATATACA